TTTTTTTTTTTTTTTTTTTTTTCAAGATTGTTTGGCTATCCAGATCTCTTGAGATTTGATATGAATTTCAGGCTGAATTTTTTCCTTTTTGGAAAAAAAAATTGCCATTGAAATTTGGATAGGGATTGGATTGAATCTATAGATTGCTCTGAGTAGTATTAACATCTTTACAATATTAAGTCTTCCAATCCATGAACACAGGATGTCTTATATATATTTATGCCTTCAATTTTTTTCAGCAGCAGCATTTGTACGTTTTAGTGTATGTAAGTCTTTTGCCCTTTTTGGTTAAGTTTATTCTTAAGTATTTTTGTTTCCTTTTGATGTAATTGTAAATGGAATCATTAATTTTTTTTCCAGATTGTTCATTACTAGTACACAAAAGTGCACATGATTTTTGTGTTGGTTTGTGAATTCTTAGAAGGCAGGAACCATATAAGAGTTGATACAAAATAAGAATAGTAGTTACTAATATTTGTTCCTTTATGTGTTTTCATTTTTCACTGGCAGTAATCTTTATCTTTTTTATTTTTTTTTTCTCTTTCCCCCTTTAGGGCTCTACTAGTTCAACTGCCTCTCCTCCAGTCTCTACCCCTGTCACAGGACATAAAAGAATGGTAATACCAAACCAACCCCCTCTAACGGCAACCAAAAAGTCTACATTGAAACCACAGCCTGCACCCCAGGCAGGACCCATCCCTGTGGCACCAATTGGAACACTAAAACCCCAGCCTCAACCAGTCCCCGCCTCCTATGCTACGGCGTCCACCCCTTCAAGGCCTGCCTTCAACGTGCAGGTGAAGTCAGCCCAGCCCAGCTCTCATTACATGGCTGCTCCTTCATCAGGACAATTTTATGGCGCAGGCGCAGGACCCCAGGGCTATAACACTCAACCAGTTTCTATCTCTGGGCAGTGCCCACCTCCTTCAACACGGGGGGGCATGGACTATGCATATATTCCACCACCAGGACTTCAACCGGAGCCTGGGTATGGGTATGCCCCCAACCAAGGACGCTATTATGAAGGCTATTGCCCATCAGGGCCTGGCTATGGGGGCAAAAATGACTCTGATCCAGCTTACGGTCAACAAGGGCATCCGAATACGTGGAAGCGGGAACAAGGGTATACTCCTTCTGGAACAGGAAACCAGAACCCAGCCGGGATGTATCCAGTTACTGGGCCCAAGAAGACCTATATCACAGATCCTGTTTCAGTGCCCTGCGCACCGCCACTGCAACAAAAGGTAGGGGACTCATTAACATAGTGATGGGGCTGAAGGAGTGTGTATCTTGGCCTGACTTCCCCAGAAAGCACACCCTAAGGCAAAAGTGTATGAGCTCCTTTTATATCATTAGAAAGTACAGTCCCAGGTGAGCGTGAGTGAAGCAGGAAAAGGCAGAGATCCTACGTGTGGGATCATATGGCTACTGTTTAATATCCAGTACAGCCAATTGTTCAATCTTGAAGGATCATCTTGCAAAAGACCGTATGAGCAGATCAGGACAATCTGTTCAGGGAGAGGATGGGAAAATAGTTTATCTTCCAGCTCTTGTCTCCTGTTGGTCAAAGCGCCCCTCTGTGGGTCAGAAACTTCCTCACGCTTAGCTGTTGCATGTGCTTGGACTCTAAATAGATATGCAGCATCTTGTACCTTAGTGGGGACAGGAGGTCCCCATATTTTTAGGTAAGAGATGTACAGGGCCACATGAGGCTCATGTAAAGACGCTCAGAACCCAAGCAAAGTTGGCACTCTGGGTTCTGCTTAGGGCCGAACTAGCCTAGGGCTGCTGAGACAGAACAAGTGGCCAAGGGCCCCTGGTAGGTGAGGTGAAGGGGGCTGCAGTATTATGGAACTTGTTTATTACCTCTTATTTATCCCCATTACTGATCCTCCAGGAAGAATCTTAGTCTGTGGGCCTTAACTGTGTTCAGAAACTTTTAAAAATCCTTTATGACAGTTATCTTTTTTTTTTTGGTTTGATTTAATTGCAAGCATATATGCTTTTAAATCAATGCATTGTTACTTCCTGTGAATAGTTAAGACACAATACTACACATACCTCTTCACCTACAACTTGGACTTTCCATGAGTACTAGAACCAACATGATGATGTTTCTTCCCACCCTGACAAGAGGATCCAAGGAGAATTACTTGCAAGGGAGGCAATGGAGAAACCAAGCTAATCTCCAGTTATTGGTTGGAACTGAGCCCACCCTTTTGGTTAGAGCTGTGAGAAGTCAGAAACTGGAGAGCCCTTGGGGCACCTGGGTGACTCAGTCAGTTAAGTGTCTGACTCTTGATTTCGCCTCTGGTCATGATCTCACAGTTTGTGGGATCGAAACCCATGTAGGGCTCTGTGCTGACAATGCAAGATTCTTTCTCTGCCTCTCTCTCTCTCTCTCAAATAAATAACCATTAAAAAAAAGAAACTGTAGAGCCCTTGATTAGCTACACGTTGAATTGTAATTGTTGAGATGGATTATAGAAGTGTGTGTGTGTGTATGTGTGTGTGTATGCACATGTGTGTATCTGTGTGTGTGTATAATCCTTTACCCATTCAAGATTGTCAGTTTCCAGATATACCTGTTCACATTTTCACCATTATGACAAAAATCTGTCAGATCCTTACTCTCTCAGTAAGATGTTTACTAAACCCTGATTCTCACATGAAAACATCTGCTCTATTAACGGTGCTCCAAAAGAATTTTAGGTTCTTTAGAGGAAAAGAACCCTTCCCAGGGGGGCCTGTGAGTATCTGGAGGCACCCGGTAACCTTATGAATGCTCATTACACAAAAGCGGACCAGCCATGGTCATTCTACAACATAAAGATTCCAAGTTAAAATGTTAAGTGTTCGAAATATTACTCTTGGGAGGCCTTTCTTTTCAAACTCCCTCCATGAAAATAAATGTTATTAAGGGTGCTTTGTTTTGTTTGTTTTTGTTTTGTTTTTATTTTTTAAAGTTTATATTTTTTACAGAAAGAGAGCAAGCAGTGGAGGGGCAGAGAGAGAGGGAGACAGAAAATCCCAAGCAGGCTCTGTACTGTCAGTGCAAAGCCTTACATGGGGGTCAAACTCACAAACCATGATATTATGACCTGGGTTGAAATCAGCCACTCAACTGACTGAGCCACCCAGTTGCCCCTTGTTTTGCATTAATTTTTAAAAAATTAATGTTTATTTATTTTTGAGCGAGAGAGAGAGCATGAGCAGGGGAGGGACACAGAGAGACAGGGAGACAGAATCCGAAGCAGGCTCCAGGCTCTGAGCTGTCAGCATACGGCCCAATGTGGGACTCGAACTCACGAACTGCGAGATCATGACCTGAGTGGAAGTTGGACGCTCAATCAACTGAGCCACCCAGGTGCCCCTATTGTTTTGCTTTTAAATAAAGTTTGTCAAGAATAGCCACACTGGATAGGCTTGCCCTTTGTTAACATTACAGCATGTCTGCAGTGGTCGTTCCTGGACCTGAAAACACCCATTCAGAACAAAATGGGGTTATTGAACTTTCCCTTGCTTTTGGTACAACTGAAACAAATTCTCCTATGGAAGATTAAAAGTGTAGGTTGGGACAGTTGTCTTCACCATTTAAGTTCAGCTATGCATGCAGTTTTTCCTCACCCAGAGCATCCTGACTGATGTTCCTGAGGGAAAGAGGTGGGCCCTGAGTTGTTTAAGGATCCCATCACCCCACCGGGGGAAACAGACATGAAATAGAGCAAAAGTGTATCTGGTGGAGGGAATCATCTGCTGAGAAGTGCTGAGCCAGTCTTCGAGTTTCCTATTTACCTATCATGTCATGAGGTGCTATCTAGATAGTGCCTGTTCAACATTTGGAACCAATCCAGTGGTGTAGGGGGAATGGGTGTAGGACCCAGTGCAAGACCTGGATCTAAGGTGTCAGGCAGAGCCGCATCATCACTAATGTTTGATCTGCCCTCAGCAACCTGTTCAGGCTCTTGGAGTGAACTTTGATTATCCACTCTCCCAAAAGCATGACATTTCCCTTTCCTTCTTATGGGAGAAGGTAATTATTCGAGGTGGTCTACATTATTACGGATTCTGGATATCAGTGAATTTCATGTCATTAAAAATTTTCTTGGAAATATTTATTTTCAACAGTGTCATGTGTTTTTGACATCATATTGTGCCTTTCAATCATGAAAATTAAATCATGGATTTTTGCTGCGATTATAGAGGAGAGTGGTTGGAGGTTGATATTTAGCCATCTGTCTGTGTTTTAGGAAAGGGGAAAGAGGCGATGAAGCTACAGAAATTTCCTGTGTGTGTTGTGGGGGCACTGGTGGATGAAGGGGTGGGCTTTTCCACAGTTGGTCTTTGAGCAGAACACTGCTGTATTCAACTGCACCTGTGCACAGAGGACCTTATTGTCCCAATATTGACTCTGCTTGGCTTAGTGATGTGACTACTGGCTTGAGAAATGAGCTTCTAATTCTAATTTCAGTTCTTCCCTTGACATTCCTCTTTCAGCTTGGGGAAAGCCTCTAGACCTCTTTATGTCACGCTCCCAGCCTCAGTAAAGTGGAACATCATCTTCACTAATTAATTAATGATTGCAGAGGGCTTGGAAATTTCCAAGGGCTGAATAATTGCCAAGTGAGGACTATTCAGCTTTTCCCTGGCTTTTGTTTATTTCCAGTTTTTTAAGTCACTGGTGGAAAAAGTACCTTCGTACCTTAGAACAATTCTCTTTTGTTACATTCAGAAGTTCTGAGGAATTTGACATTGAGCCCATTAAGGAAGACGTTGTTTTGTTTTGTTTCGTTTTAAGTGAAAGAAAGAAATCTCTCCTCTATTTGAGATGAGCTGCTATAATTTCCTTACAATATAAATGAAGAGGGAAAGAAGGAGAAAGCAGAAGGAAAAGGAAAAGGAAAGGCAAGGAAGAAGAGAAGGAAGGAAGGAAGGAGGCCACATGAAAACCTGCAGAGTGTGGGGATCATGATATTTATGTTCCCATAATGTGCTGAGCAGTGAATTTGCATGCTACGGTAGACCATAATGCGCTTCCTGGACCATCTGAGCTGAGTTCCTTGAAAAATATTGTTATAAGCAAGGTTTTATGAGAGAGAAATATTCCTTTCCCACTAGAAATGCTCTTAAAGGCACAGTGGAATCTTCTGGCTCTTTTATAAAAGCTCGTATCTGCTAGCTACTATGGAGTTCCCAGAGCTCTCGTCCTATGTGCGTTGTCTTCACATGACAGTGAGACAGGATGTGCGTTTTCTCCAGCATTCAGATTAAGGTGGGGCAGCTTGAAAGCCCTAGAACCAGGACCTGGAGGCCAGTCATTACTCTTGTGTGCACGGTGACCTGAGGGTAGATCAGCTTTATACCCACTTCCTTGTCATAAATCTAACCCTCGTCAGTCTCAACTTTGTAAAAGAGACTCTGTTTGTCCCACAGTGTGTGAAAGGCACTGGTGCTATGCATCCCAGGAAAGCTGTGAGGGCCCACCTAGTGTGGGGGTTAGGTTAAATTCGCCAATCATCTACTATTGACATCTCCTTGGAAAACCCTTCACCATGGTGAGAGTGTGGAGATCGGCAAACCACTTTTCAATAAATCCAATGCAGAGTTTTTCTTATCCAGAGTCAGAGCTGATCACTGCTCTTCATTTAACATCCAAAAGGATCTGGGGAATATTTAACGGTATGGAGAAGAGAACAAAGGGAGTGAACTCCTGGGGTCAGTGGTAAAGGGTCCTGTAATTTGTTAAGTTTCAGGAAATGTTTGAGAATGTTGACATGGTAGTATTTCAAACATTCCAGTACTATCAAAATGTTTAACTTTAGGAGATGGATGTACATATTGGGTATATTGCAAGGAATTGGTGGTATTTTGGAAAAAACTATCTTTATGGTCATTCTTGTGCAAAATAGCTCTCAATTCCAGGATCAGAGAAGCAAAAAGAAGAGATGGTTAGGGTGGGGAGAGGGATGAATGCAGAGAGATGCCTCCGGACAAGTGCCAATACCTGTACATATAAAGATGAGGATGATAGAGATTGCTAGTGACAAGAATATTAGTAATCCCCCTCTATACGGGGTGTTCCAGTTCCCAAAGTGCTTTGTGGACCCCTACAGAATTCACAGGGGTTCAGAAGATCAGTACTGAGAGTCACTCTGTGAAGGTCATCTGGCAAATTCACGGGAGCCATGATTCCAACCTTCTGAATATTGTCCTCATACTTTCCCCCGGGGAAACCATGCATGTC